CCCCCCCCCCCCCCCCCCCCCCCCTCCCCCCCCCCCCCCCCCCCCCCCCCCCCCCCCCCCCCCCCCCCCCCCCCCCCCCGCCCCCCCCCCCCCCCCCCCCCCCCCCCCCCCCCCCCCCCCCCCCCCCCCCCCCCCCCCCCCCCCCCCCCCCCCCCACCCCCCCCCCCCCCCCCCCCCCCCCCCCCCCCCCCCCCCCCCCCCCCCCCCCCCCCCCCCCCCCCCCCCCCCCCCCCCCCCCCCCCCCCCCCCCCTCCCCCCCCCCCCCCCCCCCCCCCCCCCCCCCCCCCCCCCCCCCCCCCCCCCCCCCCCCCCCCCCCCCCCCCCCCCCCCCCCCCCCCCCCCCCCCCCCCCCCCCCCCCCCCCCCCCCCCCCCCCCCCCCCCCCCCCCCCCCCCCCCCCCCCCCCCCCCCCCCCCCCCCCCCCCCCCCCCCCCCCCCCCCCCCCCCCCCCCCCCCCCCCCCCCCCCCCCCCCCCCCCCCCCCCCCCCCCCCCCCCCCCCCCCCCCCCCCCCCCCCCCCCCCCCCCCCCCCCCCCCCCCCCCCCCCCCCCCCCCCCCCCCCCCCCCCCCCCCCCCCCCCCCCCCCCCCCCCCCCCCCCCCCCCCCCCCCCCCCCCCCCCCCCCCCCCCCCCCCCCTCCCCCCCCCCCCCCCCCCCCCCCCCCCCCCCCCCCCCCCCCCCCCCCCCCCCCCCCCCCCCCCCCCCCCCCCCCCCCCCCCCCCCCCCCCCCCCCCCCCCCCCCCTCCCCCCCCCCCCCCCCCCCCCCCCCCCCCCCCCCCCCCCCCCCCCCTCCCCCCCCCCCCCCCCCCCCCCCCCCCCCCCCCCCCCCCCCCCCCCCCCCCCCCCCCCCCCCCCCCCCCCCCCCCCCCCCCCCCCCCCCCCCCCCCCCCCCCCCCCCCCCCCCCCCCCCCCCCCCCCCCCCCCCCCCCCCCCCCCCCCCCCCCCCCCCCCCCCCCCCCCCCCCCCCCCCCCCCCCCCCCCCCCCCCCCCCCCCCCCCCCCCCCCCCCCCCCCCCCCCCCCCCCCCCCCCCCCCCCCCCCCCCCCCCCCCCCCCCCCCCCCCCCCCCCCCCCCTCCCCCCCCCCCCCCCCCCCCCCCCCCCCCCCCCCCCCCCCCCCCCCCCCCCACCCCCCCCCCCCCCCCCCCCCCCCCCCCCCCCCCCCCCCCCCCCCCCCCCCCCCCCCCCCCCCCCCCCCCCCCCCCCCCCCACCCCCCCCCCCCCCCCCCCCCCCCCCCCCCCCCCCCCCCCCCCCCCCCCCCCCCCCCCCCCCCCCCCCCCCCGCCCCCCTTCCCCCCCCCCCCCCCCCCCCCCCCCCCCCCCCCCCCCCCCCCCCCCCCCCCCCCCCCCCCCCCCCTCCCCCCCCCCCCCCCCCCCCCCCCCCCCCCCCCCCCCCCCCCCCCCCCCCCCCCCCCCCCCCCCCCCCCCCCCCCCCCCCCCCCCCCCCCCCCCCCCCCCCCCCCCCCCCCCCCACCACTGTCCGAACGATCGCAGGAGCCGATATCACCTGCGTGACCCGATAGCCTTAGTACAGGCAGGCCTAGTGAGCCATGAGAGAGGTCACTCGGGACCACTGCCGGAGCGCCGACGTTACCTGCAGTGAACGTAGGCATCACCGGCGCAGCGTTTGTAGGTACGCTGTTTTCGATTTACCAACCGCTTGCTTGCATGCGAACTCTGTTTGTTTCATGGGGTTTTTTCAATTTTGCTCCAATGCTTTTCTTTCTCATATAAATGTCTGCTGTACTACCTTCTATAAATCTGCACACGTCACGTAAGTCAATTTTGTACAATTTCGATAACATTTTTTGTTTGCATCATTTCCGTAAATCATCCTTGCTGACCTCGTTAATTTCTCTCACATTTTTCTGTAAAGAAATTACTTTATATGCTCATTAGTTTAAGATAAATGTCACCCTTTCCTTACGCATTACTCGGCTTATTTTCTTTGTTATCTTCCTCATAATTGATTGGCTGTTGCTTGATGTTCCCAGTGTGGCTGCACTTGATGTGCATGTTGACAAGGTGCCTACCTGTCTATTACCCACTACCTCATTCACACTGGCTCCAGGAGACAGTTGGTCGTTGCTGTAGGGGAAAGGGTGCACGGTCTTCGCGGCCGTGTTAGGATCAACCAGTGGTTCCATGCACTCGGAGTGAAGCGGACTACGGCCAAGCCACCGCCATGTCTGCACTTGGTTCTCCAAATACAGAGAGTTTGTGTTTGCCTGTGAAGAAGTGTTGGCCGGCTCCGTTGAGGAAACGAGGCTCCCATCTGCATTTCCCCGGTCTTATTCCTTGGGTTTACACGGGACATGTGGTTTGCGGATGGAGCTGTGGGTGATGCAGCGCAGGCCACCCATGGTCCCTCTGTAGACGCAGGCATCCTGTGGCTGGCCACAGTGACTGGCAAATCCGAAACCAGATGCCGCCAACCATGTGTACGTATAAATATATATTCCTAATTATCTAGCTTATTAAGGCATATGCAGATATATATCTGCATATATATTTGTATCGTAAAACCAGCCATAAACTTAAGCCTTTTATATCCAGTTAATCTATGTATCCGGGCATATGAGGAAGTTCAAATTATTCCTATTTGCGTTCCATTATTCATCGACGTAGACACACCACCATAGCTTACGCACTAGTCAATATTACAGTTCACTAACCCCAATAACAAATGCAAAGCAGTGCATGCGCGTTTTCCATTACGCGTTCTTATACATAGCAATACAGTAATGTAACAGGTGTGGTATTCTTCTTTGGCTACCTATTTTAAACGTCTTCTTTTGTACCCTGTCGACCATGTACTTACTGATGCATTTGCCATAGAAGTTACTCCTAGTTCATTTCTACAGTAATATCCAGTTACCTTTACTTCCAGTTCCCCTTCAAAGCATAATCCGAAAGTTGACCAATTCCTCATTGCCTATATTCGCTCATTATGATTACCCCCTGTACCTACCTTGCCTTAAAAAGTTACATTTAATGCCTTCCGTGTAGATTATTTGTGCAAAAATTATGCCGTATGGATTTCTGAAGCGTTTATCTGCTGCATTGTTAACAGTAACTTCTTTTCATAATAGATAGTCAGTTTACGCCTTAACACATTCAACGTTTCAAAATATTTCCTAAACTAAAATGTCGTATACTTGTTGAACGCATTTTCCAGACGTTAGCATCTGTTGGTTTTCCGCCAGCATATTGTCCTTTATTATTTCACCACATTTGCCTCAGTAAAATGATGATGACACATGTCACAAGTAACACCATTAAACGGTTCCCAATAATTCATGATAGCCGTAGATGTCATGCAGATGTCACATTATTTACGCCATAAAATGGATGTACCAGTTGGCATCAAAGAAATTCAACTTTAACCGCTATAGTGCAATCAAACCGTCCCCTGTCGCCCCAGAAAGTGCCATTGATAGTTGCTGACCTAGCTGCGTAGCAACGGTAATTAATTTACCATGTAAACATGACTCATGCAACTACAGAATCCGGCTCCACTTTTCCAATTTACCCTATTTCCCATTTACAGCTTGATCATTTTCTACATTTCCATTATGTTCCTCCATGTAGATGTTCCAGTACAACTTAGCAAGCAAATTTCCGCAAGCAAAGGGCAGCTTTCCCCTTTAGCTGGACATAAGCGAATGATTAGCAACTGTTTTTGCAACTTACTAAAAGGACACATCATTCGTTATCTTGCACGGATACAATTTTCCCGTGGCTTGAACCATTGGCTTCAGTTTGCCTAACAACCTCTTCCACATACCTCTTGCCTGGAGAACTCTTTTTCACTTCCGAAGGCACATTCTCCTGCCGATACAAAGCCAGAACAATTAGTCATCCTGTGCTCTTCAATCAGCTTTCACCGCTCAATTGGCCGTGGTTTCCTATATTTCCAATCAATTTTACAGCATACTCCAGGGATCTGCGATTTCTTTTCGGAACCCTATCCTACCTTTAAGTCTTCAACAACAGTTCAACATATTTCAATGGATATCCTTTGGAGACTTCAGGTGGTTCTGCAGAAAAACACATCATATTCAAAAAGAATATTTGCTTCCTGCCCTACCAACCGGACACAGCCATTCGATCAAAACAGGACAGGACGCAGGAACGTAATGGACACTCGCCTAACGCATCAGCCAACGGTAAAATGGGACGCAACTTGACTGCGAATAAGTGAGCAAACAAACCCCCACAAGAAACATAGCCAGTTACGACTTGCCATTTAAAAGCTCGGCGGCAGTGTTTCAGGACGTGGTGAGTTTTTGCCTGGCTGGCGGTCTCCGTATAAAACCCACAAATGTCCGTTTAACAACACTGCAACGTGGCGAACTTGAGCCGCAACCGAATAAAGTCACATCCCATAACTTCACACTGGCATGTCAGCTAGCGTCACCATTCTGGATACGTTCGTTACACTGGAACTGCTACATCTGCATAGCCTGTTGTCGCTTCTTTCCACGAGTTTATACATGTAGCCTCGTCTGTTAACTTTCTACGATATCCCCGTCGACCTTTGCGTTACTTATGCACAAACTTAGTGTATTGTCATATCGCTCTCGAGCATGCTCTTCAATGATCTTCTAATAAATTAATAAATAAATAAATAGTTTATTCTGGATCATTTAGGATTCTAAATCTATTAGTAGCCGTGGTATGACTGCAATACAGGGCAGACCGATTATGTCCTAACAAACGGGGCCCGATCTCACGACAGTCAAATTATTGTTTCGCATTTTTGCCATTGTACCGTTCCAAACATGAACACATTAAACATTTTGTACTGCCACTGTTACAGTTGCCATAAAATGGCTGTACAATTGCACATACCTGAGCATGCCTCCGTAGGCGTGCCTCGCATAGTTGGGAATAAAACATTTATTTATTTATTTAACTGCATGTTTCCGATCATCATTGCATGACTGCTTAGACTCGGTGAGCAACTTGGCCTATGGCTTACTTTTGTCTCATCGAAGAACGCTGGCTAGCCGAACAACCTCCTCGTGGTGCCAGCTGGGTGGTTCGGGTAAATCCAGTTCCAGCAAATGGCTTGGCGGCAGTGTTCCAGGATGTGGTGGGATTTCGCCTGGCAAGCGTTCTCCTTATAAAAGCCACAGATATCCGTTTAACAACACTGTGACGTGGCGGATGTGACTGGCCACTATATAAAGTCACCACCACTTCCCTTTTCCAGCGGTTCATTCACACATCACGAAAGTCCTCCGATTCGAAGCGTTCCATTGATTTTCCCCTTTGATGGTGAACCCAAAGAACAAAACGCCCACGGAGTCACATTTACCTAAGCACACAATATGGTTACATCCAGCTACAGACATAAACATACATTTACATGTCAACAGACACATACATTCCTATGCTATTTGTCAAAATGTATTAAGTTGTGCAATTGCCGATCATACATGTCTTTATTACCATGATCACGCCGTTGATGGTGTGCCTCGTAATGACGAGAATAAACTATTTATTTATTTAATTGTGACGCAGTAGTAATTACAGCCGTTTGCACCCATGAACACAGGCTACATGATGTTTGCGTTGTTTCTTTGGGGTCAGCAGCCACCAGAAATACCCCTGCAGTCTGCTGCTATCTCTCCCTGATGCTCATACGTTCTATCCGTTTCACTCCACTATGACAGCTAAGCCACTATTAGCCGTTTAACTTGTAGCGCATTCCCGTTCCATTCTAATGAGCTTTTATTTGGATTGTGCTGTCGTATTACTCACAGCCATACGATTTTTCAAGATTTTAATGCCTCTCCCTCAAGCTTGCTTGCTTTTTCGGCCTTATTTTCTTATCGTTGCATACTGCTTGATCTTGAACTTTGCTGCTGTGGCTTCGTAGCTCCATCTGCTTCACTGGCATGACGTTCGTTACTCGGAGAAAACCTGGTCAATTGCTTAACTCCGTTCCATTAGGATTGTAATGCCGCAGTACATAAAGCCATCCTACCCACTTCCGTTTACATTCCTGACCACAGACTGCATGAGGTTAAATCTTCTTTCTTTTCAATCAGCAGCTTCAGGATTTAACTTTGCAGTTTTCTTGAATCTTTCTTCCCTCTGGATGAACCTATTACGATTGCTAAGCTTCCCGGCACCGCTCAGCCCCTGACTTATCTGCTAACGCTAACAGTCTCCCGTTAGATGTGGGGTGCCGTAACGCTCACAATCATCCGGCATTCCAACAATCTCACCCCTTTGGAACTGCCGGATATTCCTTCTGCCTTTTGTCCCAGTTTGCTAAGCGTAACTGCCCCATGCTTTACACAGACAGTGTTAGACTTAACTCGCCGCTCCTGCTTGCTAACCACACCCGTACTATTGTTGTTTAATCGTTTACCGGCTAGCATTTTACTTACTATACACACGTAACTTCCCTTCTTATAATGTTGCTCTTCGCCTCAGGTATTCAGCTGACTTACATTCTAGATGTTGCGTACGGGTTTGGTTACTACTCTTAAAAATGTTATAGCACCCAGGTCAACTGCCCTTAATGAACGGAAAGTTTTCGATCTTCTCTGACCCGTTGCTCTGCGTTCCGTCGGTTTTCAGACACTAGTGTTATGAGTACTTCAGCGATATTATTCCTATCACCTACTTATTACACTTTTGTTCGTGTGCATATGTTCTTCATTGAGGCTTTGCATTTCCCTTTCGTCTTGGAACGCTCCATTACGATCTGGCTACTCTCCAAATTTCCCTTCGGCTCTGTTGGTCTTTGCTTCCACTAAGCTGCCATTCGCTTTTCGACGCCCGTCATTATGGTTATTGAACCCTTAGTCCACCATTTTGTCTACCCTTCAGTCCATTGACCGTACTACTCGCTGAACCATATGTACCCGCTATCCTATATCAATCTTTGACCATGCGCCACGCAGAAGCTTCTTCATAAGCCGTAGTTACAGCCTGAGGCCCACCAGTGGCGCGAGAACACACCTGTAAATCATGCATACCAAACAAAATTACACAGGCTACAGCGAACCATATAGCTAGGCACAGCTACAGGCCAACAGGCATTTGACGGGGACTTCGATGCATTTCTGTTGGTCTGTTCGGCTGCCTCTTGTTCGCTGCCCATTTTCCAGAAACTTCCACAACTGCACCGGTCGACGCGCGTTGCTTATTCTCTGGTTCTGGTTTATCTATTCTCCTAGGCCAGCTGACCTGAACACAGTATCCTTTCACCTTGATATGAGGAACAATTAATCCTTCTGACGAACCCACACCGTTCTACTTAGTTCCTTACCGTCACTCTGGAGCGGCGTCAATTTTACGGGATCTAAATAACTGGGTTTAGCTAGCCTCGCAAAAGCAGTACCAAAATTAACTCAACAGAAATAATATGCCTAGACTGGTTCACTTGGCTAACAGATACTACTGCTACGATTAGCTTACATCGCACAAAACAGAATTATTGATTACCATTGGCATGCGAACAATTGCTTTCCGCGCCTTCAATTTTGCACGAACATGCTAGATACCTGAACAACCTTCAACTCGTGCCAGCTGGGTGGTCCGGGTTAATCCTGCTTCATCAAATTGTTGGGCAGCCGTGTTCCAGGGTGCGATAGGTTTTCGCCTGGCAGGCGTTCTTCCTATAAAAGTCACAAAGATCCATTTACCAACACTGCGAATTGGCCCATGCGACCAGCCACTAAACAAAGTCACTGCCTCTTCCATTTTCGTAGGATCCCTCTCCACGAAAGTCATCCAGTTCGAAGAGTTTATTTGTTCCCTTTACACGATGACGAACACAACAAACTCCTGAATGCAGTCACCTTCGAAACTTCACTCGACATGCCCACTAACACATGCCTGATTTGGTGGGTCCCCATAAATTTGCGAATAAACTATTTATTTATTTAAAAATATTTATATCTCCCGACACAAATCCAGTATGTTTCTGCTAACATTTTTATATTTTTATACAAGAACCGACCATACTTGAGCATATTGCCATGATCATGCCTTCGCAAGCTTGCCGCGCAGTGTCGGGAATAAAGCAGTTATTTAGTTAATTATTTAACTGTAGCTCGCTCGATGGCCTTCTTGGACAGCTTCGCTGCTTCTCAAAAGTGTTGCAACCAATCGGTTCTGCACCTACCAGTTTCGCAAGTACCCTGATATTCCATTTACTTGCAACTTTGCTGATGCCATTACATGTGGCTTTTACGTGATCCTCGCGACAAGTATACCTCATGCTAACTTACCTTCAAAGAATTCTGAATCTATTTGCGGACTTGGTACTCTAGCTTGGCTGTACATCGGCCATAGTACTCTTAACATTCCGCGTACGGTTCATTGAACTGAGAAATGGATTCTTTGCTGGGTTGGCCCAATTAAACCAAAAGAATCAACTGCACTCAGCGCCGCCATGACAGTTGCTGCATGGATCGCTGAACACGTAGCCTGCACTATCCGTAAAGGGATGTTATCGCAGAAGGAGCCAACCGGCACACGCAAAATTATTCACCCAGTTGCAGGACTCCTTTTAATCTTCGGCCGGCTTCAATGCATAATGTTGGAACCTAAATAGGCCATTCAAGCACCCAACACAGAAATCTGGGCCACACGCGACTGCGAATAACCTGGTGAAAATCGGCCCGTAAGATGTGTTGCTGGTTACTTGTTACAGTTCAAATGGATAAACGGCAGTGTTCCAGGAAGTGATGGGTTTTCGCCTGGCAAGCGATCTCCGTATAGAATGCCACAAAGATACGTTTAACAACACTGCGACGTGGCGGAGTGACTAGCCACTGAATAAAGTCACTGCATAAAATTTTTCGCTGGTCAGTCATCAGAATTCTACACGCAACCTCTGCAGACGTTTCATGAAATGGTCATTTCAACCGATTATGAGTTGGGTGATGCCATTATGGAGACCCAAACATTCTTATCTGTTAAAGAAGATCATTCGCGCCGAACTTTTAGTTTAGCTCCTGTGATCATGATACCATGGATTACACATGGCAAACTTAAGCCGAATTTTAGATATTACCAAAACAGTTGTACCAATACATTTTATGCGCATTAGCGCCATCATGATTCTTGCTCCCACTACTAGTTGCCAGAAGTTCACACATATATACTACGGTAAGTTTGGTTGTTTCCTTATCTTAAACGAAATGTTTTATTATACAAAAGCAGCTAGGTATGTACGTATATGTTAACATACCTTCACTGGTGCGTCATGTGCTATAGAGGATATACCATATAGTTATTTGTTAGTTTAAGTTAAAAGTTTCTATTGCGACCATTTTGTTCTGTTAGCAGCAGTACTGTTGTAGCACAACCATAAAGGATTTGCGGGACGAAACCTTTTCATGTTTCAAAATCTCGTAAACGTCTTGAAAATTCTCACAAAGCAGTTTAGTCCCCTTGGGTGTCGGCTCAGTAATTGTAAACAGCTGACGACATAATATCGGAAAATCAACTGCAGCTTTTCAGCGCTCTCTTAGGTACTCAACTAGTTTAGCATTAGATGTGAATAGAAGATTGAGCCTACAGCTGCCAAAAATATTTCGGACAGGCTAGCTTGGCTAACATTGCAAAAAGCTAAACTTATCTCCTTCAACCCCCACGAAATAATTTTGTAACAAGTGCCCAATAAATAAAGGCCTCAGCTACTCGTTTAAAGCTTCTGCGGTAACTTGGGATATGCAATATTTTTAAATTTTAATAAGCGTAGCGTCCAGTATATGGTATTGTAATAACTAATGTAATTCGACCTGGGCGGGCCTATAAATAAATAAATAGGTATATTTCTAGACTGGCCAGCGGCTGCACCCTTAAGGGTTCAGATCAATATTTACATTAATCTTATGCTCTTGCATGGAAGTAGGCAAAATACGAGTATATGTTCCTAGTTGGCAATTACAAATGCATTGTGATTGTTTGGTGTACAGCTGATGGGGTCGCAGGCGCCCACCTTGAAATTCTTCTGATTCCTT